ATTCGGACCCGTCTCATACCCCCAGGCCTTCAGACGCACCTGCATATTCCGGTAGTCGAGGCCAAGGCCCAGGTCGGAGACCTCCTCTCGATACCGCTTGCCGCATGCCGCCTCTAGAGCCTCCACCGTCATCAGCGTCATACGAACCACATCTGTGGAGGAAGAAGCTGCCGTGGCCTGCTGCTTGGATACGGGCTCCTCCGCGTCGACCGCGGCAGGCCGTTTGGCCACGCGGGCAGATCCGGCGGCGGCTGGCCGTTTCAATACACCGCCTGCGACCTGTGCCGCCGGGCGCTTCAATACACGCTTGGTGACGGCCTGGGCGGATGAAGCCGCCGCCTGCACGGAGGGGCCCACCGACGCATACACATCGCACCACTTTCTCAACGCTGATCGGGACACCAAGACAGCTTTCCGTCGCATACGCAACACGGCATGCAACGTGTGGCACTTCAGCCCTGGATATACATCGCGCATGTGGTCACCAAGTGCCGCGTTGAGCTTTTCGGCCGTGTCGTACTGCAAAGGTCCAGAGTCAGGGTGATACTTCACGTACCATTGCCTCAAAACCATACCGCTGACAGCGACGGGAGGATCGCTCTCCGAGAGAAGCTGCGAGAGGACCTCCGCGGCGGCATCGTCGGCGAAGCTCTCCCGATACTGATTGAGTCGAAGACGCTCGCCCATACATTCCTCCACAGCTTGGGCAGTGTTGAGTGCCCCCTTGGCGCCCCACTCCGTGCTGAGCCACTTCTGGCATACCCTGGCGTTAGCAGATACAGATAAATGTCCAAGGAGCCACTGCTTCAAGACGGCCCCGTCAGTGGTCCCCTCGGGCATGTCTTTGCGAATACGTTCTCCATACCAGCTCTCCAGATGGCCAGCGTTCTGCACTTGGACAAGCGTGTCTTTCGATGAATACTGCAGTAGCCACGCCGTTGCGACCCTATCTGGCACATACAGTGGTGGATCCAACTGTCGGAGCGCCCGGCATAATTTGTAAGCGGTATTATACTCGATGCCCAGGTGGCGGATGGCAGACCCGTGCTGCTCCTCCAGCTCCTTGGCGCTAGAAATACTGACCTTGCCAGTCACAACCCGATACTTGGCCCACCAAGTCTTGCACGCCTGGTGACTGGCATTGATACCCTTTGCCGCGAGCGCCTGATGCAAATAATACGCACTCTCGCAGTCGGCCAAGGGAGGCCGGGACAGCTCTGCGCCATACTGCTCGTGAAGGTCTTTCGCCGTCAAAGCCATGATCCAAGAACACAGGCGATACCTTGATCCGAGATGGCTACGGATATGAGCGTGAGAGGAAGGGGGGAAGCCTCCTGGGGCCGCTGGGGGTCCTCTTGGGGAAGGGGGGAAGCCTCCTGGCGCCGCATGGGGTCCTCTTGAGAGGCTTTGGGGGGCTTCTTGAAAGCATGTTGGGGCCTCTTGGGGGCTTATTGGATCCTCCCGGAGGACTCTTGGAGCCGCTTGGACGCCTCCTGGGGCCATCTTGGGGGCCTCTTGGAGCCAACTTGGAGCCTCTTTGGAACCTCTTGGGGGCCTCTTGGAGTCCTCTTGGGGCCTCTTGGGACCATCTTGGGCGCCTCTTGCGGCCTCATGGGCGCCTCTTGGGGCCATCTTGAGCGCCTCTTGGGGCCATCTTGGGTTTTAAAGATTCATGAAGAGCCCGCGGGTGGATTTTGATATTTTTCGGATGAGAAAGTCTTGCGTTTGCATATGTTTTCGGAACATCGCATCTTGAAATTATTGAAATCACATTATGTTTGGCAGGATTTCGGCACGCGCGCGCGGCGGCCGCGCGCATGTGCACTTCGTGTCATTTTTTGCAAGGGATGGTGGCCCTCGTAGGCTCGCAACCGTTGTTGCAGAAGGTCGAAGCACCTGAAAAGGTTCCTCGCAAAGGCCCTTTTAACAGAAATGTTTAAAATCTGGTGGGTTTCCTAGGAATCCGCAAGAGCGCGCGGAAGGACATTTTGACAATTTTTTCTGAGAAAACCATTGGGTTTTTGATGTTTTTATGTTAAAATCGTTACGAAACCTAAGGTTTTGGAAGGATTTCGTCTTGCGCGCACGAATGTCCACTTTACCTATTTTTTGCAAGGGATTCTTGCAATTTGATCAAGTAAAAACAAGAATTTTCATTTTCTATTGTTTTTTGCAAGGGAAAACGAGCGTCAACAAAAAACCGGATCCGGAGCTCATCCACTTTTCTGAAGCTTTCGCGAAAAAATGATGAAAATGTAGCTGCGGCCTAGGCGCGGCGCAGAGGTCGCGCACCAGGGGTCCCAACAATAATAATTCTTTAGAAGGAATAATGTTCAACAACAGCAACAACAACAACAACAACAACAGCAACAGCAACAGCAACAGCAACAGCAACAGCAACAGCAACAACAACATCAACATCAACATCAACAACAACAGCAGCAACAACACATAACACTAGAGTACCCTCCCCGAACCGACCTCGATCTTATACCTCGGTCCGACTGAAATGGTTTCATGCGGCGCCGCTCGGTGATATCGATAGCACGCGCAATAAAACGATTCTGGGAAAGGACCCAACCATGTGCAATTGTGAGTACGGCAGTTGTGTGCATGGTACTCGGTGGATTCCTCTTATAGGGGCCACGGAGCGCGAGAAGGGCAAGCCGAAATGGAGGGGCGGGGGCGGGGGCCGCGTGCGGACCGTGCAAGTGGGGCGTTCGGCGGAACTCCTCAATGGGGCCACGAAACGCGTGAGGGGTGTGCCGACATGGGCGTGACGCCCACATGCGAGCGATGCCTCTGAGGCCTTCGGTGAAGTTCCCCCTGGGGCCACGAAGCGTGGAAAGGGTGTGCCGAAAAGGGCGTGACGCCCGCACGCGAACGCTCCCGCTGGGGCCTTCGGCGGCGCTCCCCTTGGGGCCAGGAGAGTCGCAAGCGGTGTGCCGAAACGCGCGCGACGCCCACATTCGAACGCTCCCTTTGGGGCCTCCGGAAGAGCTCTGATGGGGTCACGACGCGCGCGATGGGGTGTGCAGGCTCCAGCTCGGGCCTTCGGAATAGCTCCCTAGGTGGTCGCGAAGAACGCGAGGGGTGTGCCGAAACGGGCGCGACGCCCACACGCGAACGCGCCCTCCAGGGCCTTCGGAGGAGCTCCCTATGGGACCACGAAGCGCGTGAACGCTGTGCTGGACAGGGCGTGATGCCCACATGCGAACGCTCCTCCCGGTGCCTTCGGAGAAAATCCCTAGCGGGCGACAAAGCGGGTGAGCGGTGTGCCGAAACGGGCGTGACGCCCACATGCGAACACTCCTTCTGGGGCCTTTGGAGGGGGGGGCCGAAACGGGCGTGACGCCCACATGCGAACCCTTTCTCTGAGGCCTTCGGACCCCATTATGGGCGTGACGCCCCTATGGGGCCACGAAGCGCGTGACGCCCCCACGGGGCCATGAAACGCGTGAGTTGTGCGCCACATGCGAACGCTCCCTCTGGGGCCTTCGGCGGTGCTCCCCCTATGGGGCCACGAAGCGTGTGAGGGGTGTGCCGAAACGCGAGTGGCGCCCACAAGCGAACGCTCCCCCCGGGGTCTTCGGAGAAACGCGTGAGGGGTGTGCCGAAAAGGGCGTGACGCCCAAAAGCGAACGTTCCCGCTGGGGCCTTCGAAGGAGCTCCCTATGACGTCAAGAAACGCGTGAGGGGTGTGCCGAAACGGGCGCGACGCCCACATGTGAACGCCCCCCTGGGGCCTTCGAAGGAGCTCCCTATGACGTCAAGAAACGCGTGAGGGGTGTGCCGAAACGGGCGCGACGCCCACATGTGAACGCCCCCCCCGGCGCCTGCGGTGGAGCTCTCTAAGGGGCCACGAAGCGTGTGGAGGGGTGTGCCAAAATGTTTGACATGTGGAGGGCAGAGGCAAGGATGGGAAGAAGGATGAGGGTGAGGAGGAGAGAAGAGGAGATGATATAAGAGGAGATAAGAAGAGAGGAGACGACGCGGGGCGCTGCCTCTCCAAAGCGAGGGCCCAACACCACAGAATGGTTGGGGAAACTCAGATCGTCCGAGGCCTGGAATAGGAGCAAGGGAAGCCGAAATAACCACCACCACCAGGGCCAGCGGGAAGAGCTGGAGGGGGTCCCCTCTGGTGGTGAGGTCCACCTCCTCTCGCTCGAGACGTCTCCCATCCCAGCGCGGAGAGGCATCGTGGAGCTCCTCGCAGAAGGTGGGCCCCTTGGTGGTGCTGGTGTCGCTGCTCATTCACCCAACCGAGCGACGACCAAACGCGGTCTTACGCGAGGCGACGTAGTGACCTTACGCCGCGACTCACTCGGGCCGCCAGCGCGGCACGCCACCTCTTAGTGAAGGCGAGGCGCTTACGCGCGACCTGACGCGGGCAGCTAGAGCGCCACTGTCGGCGCAGGCGACTCCGTTATGTTGCGTCTCTCTGAGCGGCGCCAGAGAACGGGGTCGTCTTCGCCGACGCCCGCGCGCAAGTTGCCCGCGCAAGGTCACGCGTGAGCGCCCTCGTCCTCCATGCCGCGTGCCGCGCTGGCGGCCCACGTACGCTGCGGCGCAAAAGTCGCTGCGCCATATCGCGCAAGATCCGCGTTGATCGTCGATCGTGGGGAAACCAGAAAGGTACCGATACCGCTGCCACACGCCTATAGGCGAGCCTGGACGCTCCGCCACTGCTGGAGATTGGCAGCCTTCTCCTCCTCCTGCTTATCCGCCTGCTCATCCGCCACCTCCTCCTCCTCCTCCTCTTCCTCCTCCTCCTCCTCCTCCTCCTCCTCCTCCTCCAATGTACGCAGTTCCCCAATGCTGATTGCGCACGGCAAGAGGACTACAATCGGATTCCTTTTGCGGCGGATTACAACAGGACCCCACCTGAAGAGGATTACACTAGGATCCCTTTTGAGGAGGATTGCAACAGGATTCCTTTTGAAAAGGACTCCTACCCCGTGCCACACAGCTGGCCGCAACCCCGCGTGCGCCCCGGGCGCCTGTGCGTGGCCGAGGTGCGGCGGCGGGGCCGCCTCCCGGGCGTCGGGCGGCGCCGCGTGGGCCCACAGCGCGCGGGCCTGGCTCTCAGGGGGAGGAGCAAAAGCCAAGGCCGGGCTAACGGCGATGTTGCTCAAAGGTGATGTTGGGAACCAAAGTGTGGGAAGTCACGAACCACACTTTCCTACATTTCCAAACTGCGAACGCATCGAGCGAACACGACACAGCGAGTTGCAGGAAAGTGCGAGCCACGCGTTCCCACAATACCGAAACCAACATCGCCGTTACCTACACCACCGTTAGCCCGTCTACGGAAAAGCGGGCCCCGTGAGGGGCTCGTCTTAGGTCGGGCATGTCCGCCTTACAGGCGGATTTTGGACGAAACATGTGTTATTTTTTGTTATATGCAAATCAATGGCCAGAAGTACTCAAACAATCGTCCCGGGACTATGTTTGGACTATTTTTGGATACCCCTCATGGAGAGGGACAAGCCCGACTGAACCCCAGTCCCGACCCCATCCCCGAACCCACGATCCAGCGGGTCGGGACTGGGGGTGCGGGCGGGGTCCACGACTGGAGGAACCGCCCACACCTCCAGCCCCGACCCCTTGAATCGCCGGCTCGGGGATGGGAGTCGGGACTGGGGGTGGGTGGGGGTGGGTGTTCGCCGTCCTCTCAAAGGTCCCCAGACGGTGCGGTGACAGGCTTGGCATCGCACCGTCTGGGCACACTCCTCCTCCTCCTCCTCCATCTCCTCCATCTCCTCCTCCTCCTCCTCCTCCTCCCTCCTCCTCCTCCTCCTCCTCCATCCTCCTCCTCCTCCTCCTCCTCCTCCTCCTCCTCCTCCTCCTCCTCCTCCTCCTCATCCTCCTCTCGGAGGAACGCGCCGCGTTCGCCGACGCATCGGCGCCGAAGGCAATGCCTCGGCGCCGTGGGAGGGGAAGTGGGGAGGGGCCCCATGTTCAGCCACATCGCAGAAGCAGCACCCCGCATCCGCACGGACTCGACTTTTTGATCCGCGGGTCGAGAGCGAGCCTCTTCCGGTCGAAGCTAAGCGGGCCGCGCACAGCTTTGATTAACAGAGGAAGGAAAAAAGAAGGCGGGGCCTCACGACAAGGCCAAGAGAGGGCAAAGCCCCGGGATCAGGCGGTGCCGAAAGCGAAGTGCACGACGGACTCGACACACGCTAATGTCGGGATCCACCAAACGGGGGGTGACCCTGAGGGAGGGCACGAAATCGGTCCGCTGGAGCACCGACCTGCCGCAAACGGATGCCCCCCGCATGCCCCACCTATCGGCAACTATCGGGAAAAGCCGTCGACTGGTGGGCATCTGTTTTGGGCGGTTCGATGCAAACACTACTCGAACTCACACGCACGCACACATGCACACACACACGCGCACACACACACGCACACACACACACACACACACACACACACACACACACACACACACGCACACACACACACACACTCCAGGGCACATCCCCTTCTTGCGGAATCCCGATAGTGTTAGGTCGGGCATGTCCCCTACAAACGGATTTTGGACGACACATGAAAAATTGTCAAACAAAAAACACAAATAGTTGAAACATAATCGAAAAATCGTCCCCATGCGATTTAAAAACTATGTTTGAATCTTCCTCCTGTCGAACGAAATACCCGACTTAACAATAATGGCCACCGCAACGTTAGGGCTCCATCGGCTCGCGTGCCCCGTGGGCGCCCTCCTCGGGCGCCAGACCGAAACGGAACATGCGCCGCATCGGGCCGCGGCGGCACGGAGACGAACTCAAGAAGGATCGGCTCGTCGGAGTCGAATCGGATCTGCCAGCCTGGCGAAGAATTTACAAGCCTCGAACGTATCCCTATCCCTGACTTGACACGCCAGAAGGCGATGACAAACGTAGGGATTCGCCCTCAAAAAGTAAGGAAATCCCTAAGATTGGCATCGTGATGAGGAGGTGCCCAGCATAGGGATAGGGATATGTTCCAGGCTGGTAAAGAATGGTATGAAACAGACTTTTCCGTCGCTGGGGGGCGCTGCCCCAGTGCGGCTGGAAAGCTTATGCCTCGACGTGCCACCGCGAGAGTGCAAACTTTCCCGCCGCCCTGGGACAGACGCCCCCCGACAGCGCGAAAGTTTGGGTTATACCGTTCTTGAAGCCGATACCGAATCCGATCAATCGCATCGCCATGGACCCTTCCTCGGCCTTCTCATTGCACCAGCCTTGCAGAGGTGCTGCAGCGGATTTCTGCGTGGACTTCTGCGTGGATGTTTGCCCGTAGCGGCGAGCGAAAAACGAGGAACATTTCGCGTGGATTATGTTTGGTCTTCATTCCTGGCAACAAAGAAAAACAATTATCCGCAAGAAATTCACCTCGAAATCCAGAACGAAATTCTCTAGGACACCCGGGGCCCACCCTATCGTTTTGCAAGCGAGATCAGCTCTGCGATGTTGGCAGCATGAGCCTTCGGACCACAGCTTAGGCCTCCGGCGGCCGCTCGGAGGACGATCCGGGCACCCCTGCAGATCCTCAGGAAGGCGCAGCTGCCGGAAGGCGTCCCGAGGCAGCCGCACCCCTAGGGCCTGACAACAACTTCCGACAGCCTCGAACTTCGGAAACGACATCGATTCCGATCGCTCCCTCCTCCTCCTCCTCCTCCTCCTCCTCCTCCTCCTCATCCTCATCCTCGTCCTCCTCCTCCTCCTCCCCTCCTCCCCTCTCCCTCCCTCCCTCTTCCCTCCTCCCTTCTCCTCCTCTCCTCTCCTCCTCCTCCTCTCTCTCCTCCTCCTCTCCTCCTCCCCTCCTCTCCTCCCTCCTCCCTCCTCCCTCCTCCTCCTCCTCCCCTCCTCCCCCTCCTCGGCCTCGTCCTCCTCCTCCTCCTCTCCTCCTCTCCTCCCTCTCCTCGTCTTCTCCTCTCTCCTCCTCCTCTCCTCTCCTCCTCCTCCTCCTCCTCCCTCCTCTCTCCTCCTCTCCTCCTCCTCCTCCTCCTCCTCCTCCTCCTCCTCCTCTCTCCTCTCTCCCTCCTCCTCCTCTCCTCTCCTCCCCTCCTCCTCTCGGCCTCCCTCCTCCTCTCTCCTCCTCTCCTCCTCCTCCTCCTCTCCCCTCCTCCTCCTCCTCTCCTCCTCCTCCTCCTCCTCCTCCTCCTCCTCCTCCTCCTCCTCCTCCTCCTCCTCCTCCTACTCCTCCCCTCCTCCTCCTCCGCCTCCCCCTCCTCCTCCTCCTCCTCCTCCTCCTCCTCCTCCTCCTCCTCCTCCTCCGCCTCTGCACAGCAACCCTAGGGCGGCCTGGGCGGGGGACAGGTCCAGGCCGAGCTGCAGCAGGAAGCGGCGAAAGTCTGGGGCCCGGAGCTGCCCGGCGCCGGCGCTCCACTCAGCGAAGGCGGCCTGGAAGTCGTCCAGCTGCCTTCCGTGGCGGCCAAGTCAACGGTTTTTGATGCGGCGTTTCGACTTTGGGCGGCATGTCAACATTGAGTGAGGGGTGAGGAGGAGGAGGAGGAGGAGGAGGAGGAGGAGGAGGAGGAGGAGGAGGAGGAGGAGGGAGGAGGAGGAGGAGGAGGAGAGAAGGAGGAGGAGGAGGAGGAGGAGGAGGTGAGGATGAGGAGAAGGAGGAGGAGGAGGAGGAGAAGGAGGACGAGGACGAGGAGGGGAAGGAGGAGGAATAGGAGGAGGGAGGAGGAGGAGCAGGGGGGAGAGGGGGGGGTCTGACTCCAGACCTCTGCTCAGTGCGGCTGTTTGGAACAATGCGTCCATGATGGGGGAGTCTCCCCCTGCTCGAAACAGGCGCCGAAGACAGCCAAGATCTACTCCATAGGGGTGGGTGACTAGGATGTCATGCAGTCGGGGTGGATTGAAGAGGACACGCGAGAGGACACAAGCCTCTTCGGAGGGCCGCATTGCCACACGAATGCAGAAGCACGGGTCGCGAGGCACAGGACACAAGGGTACCCGTGATTTGGCAGGGTCGACCTACTAATCAGCGAGCCCTACCCCCACCGACTATCCATTCTCCTAGATCGATGGGTGGCGGGGGCAGGGTTCGGATTTCGCCACGCGCTCTGCGGATTAGGAATCCTAGCCCCATCCCCTGTCGGGTTGCCTGAATCGTCGATCGGCGAGGGTGGGGTTCGGACTCCGCCAACGACATCATGACCGGGGCCGCGACAGTTCTTTCCCCAGATGTCATGGCCGCCTCCTCTAGTCTCAGTGCGTGCCGTGGCCCCCCTGGGCCTCGCACGTACCTCGGGCCATGACTTGCTGACCCCCTCTCGAACGCCCCCCTCTTGGAAGCCCCCGATGCCTGCTGCTCAGGCTCTCCGCGCTGCCGCACGCGGGCCTGCTCGGCGGGGGGAGGAGGAGGAGGAGGAGGAGGAGGAGGAGGAGGAGGAGGAGGAGGAGGAGGAGGAGGAGGAGGAGGAGGAGGAGGAGGAGGAGGAGGAGGAGGGGGAGGAGGGGGAGGAGGAGGACGAGGAGGAGGAGGAGGAGGAGGAGGGGGAGGACGAGGAGGAGGAGGAGCTCCTCGCGTCGCGCAAAAACCAAGACAGGGTGTTCTGGGCAATGTCTGGCCTCCATGGGGCCCTTGCCAAGCCAGCGGCCGTCCACAGCACAACTCGGGATGAACTTGAAGATTCCCAATATCTCTCAATATTTTCTGAGATTTTGTCTTCCCCCCCGCTATCCATATGTTCCCGCATTTTCCAGGGAATCAACGATTACTTGTGTCTGTGTGTTGTTTCCCCTCCTGAGAATTACTGGCCCCGGGGGGAGGAGCCTCCAAACCTTTGGGGGTCCGCCCCTCCGGCCCTCCTCCTATATTCCTCCTCCTCCTCCTCCTCCTCCTCCTCCTCCTCCTCCTCCTCCTCCTCCTCCTCCTCCTCCTCCTCCTCCTCCTCCTCCTCCTCCTCCTCCTCCTCCTCCTCCTCCTCCTCCCCCCACAGATATGTTCCGCCCGGTGTGGGGCAGAGAGGCGAAGGCGGGAGACGGCGGGTGGGCGGCCGGGGAGCGGGAGGGAGGGAGTGGAGAGTGACACCGGCCACAAGGGAAGGGCGGCAAAGGGAAGGAAGAGGACGATCTGGGAAGAGAGGACCAAGGAAAAGAACAAACGAGGTAAGTAAGTCCGTCGCCCTTCATCATGGCTAACCATAGGCGAGCAATTGACAGATCCTGCCCTCACATCCAGCGTCGCCCAAGCACGGCACGGAGGAACGGATGAGGATGACCAGCATGAGCCCAGGATACATCAGTGATACCACAATGCATCGCAATTCTCAGGTCCTCTCCACATCTGATCATCGTGCTTCCATGGGGAACGATGGAACGCTAAACAAGAAACGATCCCCGTATTACCCCCTCCAAAGCGCCTAAGTTCACGAGGGGCGCGAGAGAGAATCATGGAAGTCTAGGCAAGACACTACCGCAGGAGGCTGTCAGACTGCCTCGGGCCCGTAAACGAATAGCTCGCAATCCACTACTCGACGGTGAACACACCTCCCTTTAGTAAATCTCCCCTTAGTGAAAACGGCCTGGGACCGAAACCGACGGACCTGGACCCGCAAAAATGACGGCCGCGACGCCCTCTCGCGAACCGAAAAAAAGCCAATTTGCAAATTAACGTGTCAGGGTAGGAGGTCTGCCCACCCCCGAAGTACATGCTGCCCAGTCACCGAAGGACCTGAGGAACAGCGCGCCCCTCTTGACCTCGAACGGTTCCTCGTTTCAACGCCACCGCTACAGGCGCCCACACGGAACACGAGCGCCCCGTTGGCCTGCTACTCCGGCAGGCGCCGCGTCTTGATCCAGATCCGTGCTCGGCCAGTCCAGCTCTGCAAACTGCGAAGGAAGCAATCTTCGGCAGGCCGACACAGCCGCCACCACGTGAGCCCCGTCAAGAGCCGCCTTGCAGCCGTGTGGCTGCATCGTGGCAACTATCTTCTGGCAGTAAAGCCGCGAGGACATAGACAACATGCGCGCTGCTGCTGGGCACCAGCGCGCATTTCCTCTCGCGGTTGCCGTCGGCACCCCCTCCTCTGGCTCCTCCGAAAACAGCACCCTCTCCTCCTCCTCCTCCTCCTCCTCCTGGAATCGCAGGGCCGACACCTGCGCACGCACCCTCAAAACGTCGGCATTCGCCCCCTCTTCCAGCTCCAAATCCTGCGCAGACGACCTCCGCCTCCTCAACTTCAGGCCAGAATCCATCGCTTCTCTCCCTCCCACATGCCCGTCAGACCCAATGTTCCTCTGGCCCCTTCGCTCAGGCTCCCCTCAAGCCGCTGCTCCAAGGAACGCCAAAGAGGGAACGATGCCTCCTTTTTGGGGCACCCGTAGAACCTGGATGCACGACGAGGGCCAGAGGGGCAGTCGCGGAACGACCCGAGAAACAGCGAGCCGCTCAAACCCAGCCAACGCGGTCCTTGTCTCAGCGCCTTGACTGCATCCCTCCCTCCCCGTCCCTCTGCCTCGCTTTCCCCCCCCTCTCTCACTCGCTCCCCGTGTGCCCGCGGCGGGCGGATGCGAGGACCGCGCCCGCACACCCCAATAAACACCACTCTCTCTCTCTCTCTTTCTCTCCTCCTCCTCCTCCTCCTCCTCCTCCTCCTCCTCCTCCTCCTCCTCCTGCTCCTCGCCCTCCTCCTCCTCCTCCTCCTCCTCCTTCTCCCCCTCTCACCCTATGCGAGATCTCCCTCCCCTCGTCGGGGGCGCGCAAAGGGGAGGCGCCCGATTTCCCATGGAAACGGGACCCGTCGCTAATCCATTTCCCCTTGATCCACGTTTGCGATCGCCTGGCCTGTTCACCAGGCCCTGCTCGGCCTCGCTGCCCCCATAGAACTTCGAGTACGCCTCCGCGCCCGGGCGCACAGCGACGACGACGACAACGACGACGACAACGACGACGACGGTGACGGCGGCGGCACGACGAGGGCGTTACGAAGACGGTGCATCGAAGGCGGCGGCGACAACAACGGCGGCATGTCGAGAATACGATATGGCTACGATGACGGCGGCGGCGGCGGCACGACAGCGTTACTACTTGCGACGACGACGACGACGACGATGACGACGACGACAACGACGACGATGACGACGACGGCTGCGATACGACGACAGCGATGGCGACGATGGCAGCGCCATGACGAAGTCACCACGACGACGAAGCGACGGCGGCGGCGCGACGATGACGTTACGACGACGACGCTAAGACGGCGAATGCGACGACGGTGTGACGACGGAGATGGGTCCCTCCCGTGGCGATACGCCCGCTGCCGGGGCTTGCCGCTCCTCGCAGAGCCTCTTCCCGAACTCGTGCTGCGCGAAGGTTGGGCTATCACATCACGGCGCAGTCGCGGGCGAGCTTCCCAGGGGTGGGGCCCGGCTGCAGGTCGAGGCCTGCTCGGGCCACGCGGACGAAGCGGGGCGCCAAGCACGGGGGCGTGAGCTTGAAGATCGGGAGGGTCGCCAAGGCAGCCGCGCGGAACAAGGTCGCCAGCCGCTCGGGGCTTCAGGGGGCGCCGTCCGCCGCAGTCCGCGGGCATCCACGGGTTCCAGGTGCGCGGGGCCTTCGGCCAGAGGCTGGCGCCGGCGCGGAGGCGCCCGAGGCGAGCCTGCGAGGCCCCGACGCGAGGGAGATGCCTCACGACGCTCCTCGCCCTGAGGGCCCCGCAGCAGGACCAGGGCGCCAAGCTGCCCACGCAGTGCATCGACATCATTTATCGAGACGGCGGGATCATCCCGAGATCGGGATTGGAGATCGGTTTTTGAGCAGTTCCAGGGAACTCCAGTTTCGCATTGCACCAAGCACGTGCGAGGGTCAGTGTCGACTGTCGCATTGCATCTTATGGAGTCTTAATGGTCTGTACCTTCAGCCACGAGTTGAGTGATTAACCTCACGACTTTGCAGACGATGAGTTGAGAGTTGATGATGCCATGAATACTGAAGTTCGTTTTCTTGGCAGTCCTGCATGTTTCCTCAAGGATTTCTCGGAAATATCCAACTTCGGTACTGGCGGCAAGCGAGTGCACACTACTGCGGCGACGGCTTGCACGATGGATCGGATGTTGAATCATATCGCGTTTTGCTTGGACAGCTTCATGACGTCCCGCAGATTGGTCACAGGCTCAGTGAAGTCATGCTGGCGATTACGGCAGGAGGGACGTGGCCACGTGCGAGGAAGAAAGCTGAGGTTCCCCGATGTTGTGGCACAGATGGGTGCTCCCGGTGTCATCTTGAGCCCGAGACCCACTTGCATCGCAGCTGGATGTGTAGCTCAAACCTTGGCAAGACGGCGTACCAGCAAACGGAGGGCATGGTGCCTCAGGCCATGGTCCAGTCGGCGGCCGAGACTACCTTTTGGATCAGGGGCTTGCCCCCTGCACCGTGGGTGGCAGTCTCACCGCGTGGACACCGACAGGCCCGTCAGTGCTCGGCCCAGGCTGCTTCGGCCACGGCGAAGCGCAGACCCCACTGCTTCTTTTCGGAGACGCCAGCGGCGGCCCAGACACAGCCGTCACTAAGTTTCGCGGTGAAGGATGTGCAGCAGCTTGCTTCCATTCGCTCGAACCTGTGCTTTCTCTCGCGTAGTCGATCCGCGGCCCCGTCCATGGCGACAGACAGGCAGTGCCGCGTGGTGAGCTTCGGAGTTTCGTGCTGGCCGTCTGGACCTCCAGCGGGTACATCACCCTGTGGGTCGGTTGTCACGGGCCAGTTTGCGATGTGATTCGAGACTCCGAGCGGCCCAGACGCCGACCTCTGGGCCGTGCTCGGGCAGTTGGTAGAAGGCTGCAGTCTCAAGTGCACTTCAATCCTGTTTGTTCCCTCCCACCCTGGTGCCGCCGAGATCTGCTCAGGGTTGGCCCCGAAGTGGGCTGCCACAGGCAACTCGGTCGTGGATGTCACTGCGGGTGCAGCAGCTGTTGGGGCGCGCCTCCCAGAGTCTCAGGAGGCAGCAGTGTGCTCTTGCCCGAAAGGCGGGCGAGGCTCGTCCGCCTGTGGCTGTGGAGGGCAGCCCTCGATGCGATGGAAGCGAGCGTCGTTCCGGTGCCCCAGGAAACAAAAAAAAACATAATCCCCTCCTGCCCCTCGTCCTCCGTCTGCTGCTGCTCTCTCTATCTTATCTACCTCCCACAGTCTCGATGACAATGACAAGCGGAGGAGGTGCACCTGTTGTGGAGGGTCGGCCAACCAGGCCGCGGCCACGCATTGGCGCCAGTCCGAATGCTCCAGTCCTGTCAAGTATAAAATGGTACCATTATGTAGAAGACCCCCCCCCTCTTTGCGCGGTTGCACATATCGGGGTGGGGACCAGTCTCATGTCATGCAAGATCATTCACACTTGCAGCTGTGGTACTATAAGAAGTGCGGTTGCTATGCCTCCTCTGTCTTGCGCGAACTTGGCAAGGTGTGTACCATGCGTGTCACGTCACATCGGGCTGAATATCTCGATAGGACCTCGTGTGGCTTGTAACCTAAGGGGCTTAGTGCAAGAGAGAAGCTGAGCCGTGGTCGTGTATTGTCCTACCTCTTGCGCCATTCGTCACGTTGTAGGCTTCATGGTTTTGTCACATGGTCATACTCATACTCATACTCATACTCATATTCATATTCATACTCCTCCGCATCCGCCACCTCCTCGTCCTCCTCGTCCTCCTCCTCCTCCTCCTCCTCCTCCTCCTCCTCCTCCCTCCTCCCTCTTCCCTCCTTCTCCTCCTCCTCCTCCTCCTCCTCCTCCTCCTCCTCCTCTCCCTCTGCTCCTCCTCCTCCTCTTCCTCCTCCTCCCTCCTCCTCCTCCTCCTCTCCTCCTCCTCCCACCCCCTCTCTCCTCCTCTCTCCTAGTCTCTCCTCCCCTCCTCCCTTCTCCTCCTCCTCCTCCTCTCCTCCCCCTCCTCGTCCTCGTCCTCCTCCTCCTCCTCCTCCTCCTCCCCCTCCTCCTCCTCTTTCTCCTCCACCTCCTCCGCCCCGTTGAGGCAGCCCCCAATGGAACGGAACGGAATCCGGCGCCAGGCGAGGGAGCCGGCGAGGGTGCCGAGGCGCGCGCGCCGATGGTCCCGCGCTGCTGCCTCTGCGCCCCCTTGCCGCAGCCAGAGGTTGCCAACACTTGGGTGCCCGAGTTATCCAGGGTAACTCGGGTCCGGGGTAACTCGGGTTTGGATTCCCGAAAAACGAACCCGAGTTAGCCCTGACCCGAGTTACCCCTGATGAATTTGGGCTCTGGGCGCCCGAATAATCCGGGGTAGCTCGGGCCCGGGGTAAGTCGGGTTCGGATTCCCGAAAAACGAACCCGAGTTAGCCCTGACCCGAGTTACCCCTGATGATTCGGGGCTCTGAACACATGTTGTTTGGCATCGTCTATCTACCGGGCCTCGGGGCGCCCTGGGCGTCGCCGAGCCGACACACCCAGGCGGAGGTGCGCGTGGGGTGCCTCTACATCAGGGGCAGTGAGGGGGGCATCGCCGACCGATGGGCGATTGTCACGATATTGCGAATCCGCACGTTCCTGGGCGGGGTAGGCTATCGGGCCCCATGTTGGCGATGGGGATCGCAGCGCCACCCCTGAGCCTACCACACCCCGAACGTTGCCCCTAACTGCAAGGGCAGTGCGGCCCTGCCCGAAAACAGGGGCTGTCCTGCAAGGCTTGCGACCGCTCTCGCCACTCGGAACTGAGCCTCCCTGCGAGACTGGCTTTCGGTCGCGATGGCCTCAAACCCGATCCATGATGCGCCTCCAACGTCGAGGCCGTCGCCACCGCCATCTCCACTGCCACTGCCGCCGCAGTACCCCAAGATTCCCCCTGTGAGCCCGTTCGGCGTCCGTGCCCGCTCGGCCGCCGAACGGCCTCCGAATCCATCGCGCTCGGCGGCCGAACGGGCTCACGCCACCTCAGACATGCGACGCCCTGACCCATTCGGGACGGCATCCCCGGAAGTCCCGACCCTTTCCCTGGGACCGAACTTTCGTCACGAATCGTCGCTCGCCGGCACCCAGCCCCGGCGAGGGCCCCCCGGGGGCCGCAGACGGCGAAAAACACTTGCCGCCCGGACGCTTTGCTGCGACTCGAGCAGGCCTGGGACTCGGGCCTGCCCGAGCAGAGCCCGCTCGGCTGCGCTCCCTCGGCCGCAGCATGCAAGAGTGACCCTGGGTAAGGGCGACCTTTGGTGCGCGGCGTTTTGGGGGCCGCGGGGGGGGCCAACACACAAGCGCGCAGGACCCTACTGCCGCATCGCGTCCGGCGAGCGGGGGACCCCATTGGGCCCGCACCAAAGGTCACTCCGGCGAAAGGTCACTCTTGCGTGTAGTCGAGCTCCCGCGGCCGCAGCATGCCGGGGTCCGGCGCCGAGAGCGGGCGCCGAGGAGCGCCGAGGAGCGGAGCGCACCCTGCAGGACCTCCGACGCATGCCGCACCCGCCCGCGCGCCGGCACGCGGGGGGGCCCGGGCGGGCGCCTCCCCCCGGCGGAGACGCCTGCCCGTCGCGGAGCGCCGCCCCACGTGCGAACCCTGCCCCTCCCCCCGCGAGTTCTGAGGGGGAGGGCGGGGTTCGCTTCGCTCGTGAGCTACCGAACGAAGTGAACCCCACCCCCTCCCCCTCAGAAGTCGCGGGGGGGAGGGGGAGGGTTGGCATGTGGCCCCCGATGGTCGGGGCAGTGGAGCCGTCGCCGGGTGCTGTGCTGCTCCCACCGTATGCTCGAGGACCGCATCCCACAAGAGCATTCCGAACCCTCAGGAAGCCATGGGAACGGCGTCGAACGAGTATCGCCTCCCAGGGCCCGACGCGTGAAAACCCTCGAGTTTCGGTATGTTCCTGGTGCTCGAAATTCTTTCTGGTGATCGAGGCTAGAGTAGGTTGGAAGGTCATGAGCCTGGTGACTCTCAGTCCACGTAGGATGAGGAAGCGTGCACTTCGTCGTGCACCTCTCGGGCCGTTCTGGGCAGCTTCCCCCTGGAAGAGCCTCGATCCCCACCACGCTTACTTCCCCCCCCCCCCCCGGTGCCGCCTGCCCGGAAAAGGCCTCGACCTCTTCCCCAGGACCACCTCTGCATCCCGCGCCTCCTCTTCACGGCCCCCATGGCCGCGCGAGAGCCCCCCCCGAGGCCGAAATCGAGGAACACCGCCCGGGTCGGAAAGCACACTTCCTTGGAGGGATGTCGCCATATACCGCCGCTCCTCGGACCTCTCCTTGAGCTGCACTCTGGCCGGAACTTCTGGGAGAATCCAGCCGTGGTGACGAGGACTCTCCAGGACGAGCAGCGGTATCGGCACCTGGGTCCCAGACCCCAGACGACATGGTTTGTTCACGTCGTGGACCAGGGCTAAACCTAAACGGTTTTAGTCGTTTTCGTTTTGTGTTCGTTTTCCCTTGCTTTTGTCTCGAATCCGCCTTTACCGCAAAACGAAGTCGAAACGAAAATGGCCCACGAAATCACCAAAAACACCGTTTAGGTCCAGCCCTGACGTGGACCCCCAGCCCCAGGACCAGCTTCTCGCCCTGAGTCGTTCTCTGACGGCCCTTCAAGGCCCGGCAAGGGCCCACGGAGGCCGATGAGAGCAAACAAAAGCCGTCCGCCGTGATTCTCAACGACGCGAGGGTGTACTCTGACTGTCGTCGTCGTCGTCGTCGTCCGCCCGACGCGCTCCGAACCTCGTCGCTCCAGTACCTCGCGCCAGCCGCCACCGCCGGCATGGGGCCCGCCGCCCTTGGGGGCTCCCGCGGCCCTCCCCTGGGAGGGGGCGGAAAGGAGGGGGAGTGAAGTGGAGAGCTGGACTTCGCTGATCACCATGCGGCGGCGGGGAAAGAGGGAGGAGGGGGAGGAGGGGGTTAAGGAGGAGGGGTAGGGGCATGGAGGGGAGGAGGGGCAGGGAGGAGGAGGAGGAGGAGGAGGAAGAGGATGGGCAGGAGGAGGAGGAGAAGGAGGAGGAGAAGGATGATGAGGCGAGGCCAGGCGAGGCGCCGAAGGACGTCAAGAAAGACGGACCTGCGAGAACACGGCGGTTGGGCCAGAGCCCGGAATGCACTTGGGATCCCAGTGTGACTCATGTTCGTAAAGCTCGCGGAGGAGGAGGGGGGAGGACGACGACAACGACAACAACGACAACGACAACGACGACGAACGGCAAGAACTAAGACATCAAGGGTGAGGAGGGAGGATACCACGACAAGATAAGAGTACTTGCGAGACAATGACTAGATGCCTTGACTGAGCTGCGAAGAGAACAGGCGTAGCAAGCACAATCTACTATCTGATATGGCGAGTGCTCTGTGAAAACTATGAGAGTGCTCCTACTAGAGGCTCTGCGAGGGGAGTTCTCCGGCCCAGGGAGGAGGAACATGACTAAGAAGGCAACTGCACCTTGCGCTGCGTCAGCTGCCTTTTCAGATGGCTCAAGAAGGGCTCAGCTGCGCGGGAGAGGCCTTCGTAGAATCCAGAAAGCCGGGAAAAGGCTCCCAACAGGCCGCCTCGAAGGCCTCCAAGAGGCCCCAAGACACCCCGCAGCACACGCGGAGCCAGAGGGGGACAATCAAGAAACAACGACAACCACGACACAATAAGAGAAGCGGCAACCAACAACAACGAAACCAGAAGCCGCACGTGTCGTCTTCTGGCGGTCGGCCAGAACACGTGAGCCCCTGGAAGCAGAATGAGAAACGTGTCGCTTCGCTGCACGTCTGATGCCACATGCAGAAGTTGAGGACGGTGTAGGATAACCTCTCTTCTGCGTCCACGCCAGTGACCATAGCTCCATCTTGCCACTGCGATGAACTCGCACCATGCCCCTGACAAGTGTCAGGGAAAAAGGGCCTGGCAACAACCTCCTCCTCCTCCTCCTCCTCCTCCTGCTCCTCCTCCTCCCCCTCCTCCTCCCCTCCCCCTCCTCCTCCTCCTCCTCCTCCTCCTCCTCCTCCTCCTCCTCCTCCTCCTCCTCCTCCTCCTCCTCCTCCCCCTCTCCGCCTGCCCTCTGCCCTCCTCGACCCTGCGCCCGTGCAACAACAAACTCTGCCCTCCCTCTTCCTGCCGTGAGGGGGAACGTTCGGATGGGGTCAGGCAGGAATGGGGGAACACATCGACACGGAATCGGCGATGCACCGCCGCTAGCTCGGCAACACTCCCGCGTCAGCGACGCCTCACGCTCCAGGGCCGGATGGGCTTTCGGGCTGGCCGTCGCTCGGACGTCCATTCCCTGTTTTTTTTCGGTTTCGTGCGTGGCTTTTTCGCCAAATGATCGAGGATGCTCCTCGATGGTCCTCCGCCGAGGAAACATGCACACGTCCGAGCGATGCCAAGTGCGATCGGAGGTCGACGCGCCTCCCCCCTGGGGGAGCTTCCCCCCTCCAGATCCTCGTCGTCTGGCGTTCGGGCCCCAGCTCGTGAAGGGGAACTGGGACACACAAATACATACACACAAATGAAATGTTTCCCATATGTTCTTACATGTTGGAGGTTTTGTCTTCCCCCCCACTCCCCATATTTGTGCATATGTTCCTGGGGGTCGACGATGAATTGTGTCTGTGTGTTTCTTTCTCTCCCGAGCTCGGCTCTCCCGCGGCCGCTCGGCACGATCTGGGCATCCCAGGACACCTCTCGGCGAGGTGCGGCTGCTGAACACACATCCCGAAGCATGACAACCTTCTGAAACCGGCGCAAGCGTCCGACCCGAAGACGAATAGCTCCAGGCGCGGCTCCAGAACCCTGGCCCCTGTGGCAGGGGTCGGCCGGGGGCGGCGCGCACAAGGGGGATGGGGGGAGGGGGAAGGCTTCTTAGACGGAGGCTGCTTCTTAGAGGAGGAGGAGGAGGAGAGGAGGAGGAGGAGGAGGAGGAGGGAGGGAGGAGGAGTGAGGAGGAGGAGGAGGAGGAGGAGGAGGAGGCCTGACATCTTGAGACAAGGCCCGCGCCCTCTGAGGAGCAGAGGGGTGCTTCTGAGCAGCCTTCCCCCCGCCCCCTGCCGCCCTCGGCGCGTGGACGAAGCCTTTTTCACCTCTCCCGATTCCTCTTCACCTTTCTCCTCCTCCTCCTCCTCCTCCTTCTCCTCCTCCTCCTCCTTTTCTTCCTCCTCCTCCTCCTCCTCCTCCTTCTCCTCCTCCTCCTCCTTTTCTTCCTCCTCCTCCTCCTCCTCCTCCTCCTCCTCCTCCTCCTCCCGGAAACTGACTCTGGAGGCAGCAAACCGAGGAAACGCTGCTCCGCCGCGGCGCGGCGGAGGCATGCCGCTCGCGGGCTCTGGTAGATGGTGCCTTACCAGAAGGGCGGCGGCACGAGAGAGGGGGAGGAGGAGGAGGAGGAGGAGGAGGAGGAAGAGGAGGCGGAGGAGGAGGAGGAGGAGGAGGAAGAGAAGGATGAAGAGGGGGAGGAGGAGGAGGAGGAGGAGGAGGAGGAGGAGGAGGAGGAGGAGGAGGAGCGAGGAGATGGAGCGAGGAAGAGTGAGGAGCAGAGAGGAGAGAGGAGCGAGGAGGAGCGAGGATGAGCAGAAATAGTAGGAGGGGAAGCATGGGCAGTAGGAGAGAGGAGGAGCAGAGTTCTTCGGATCGACAAACACGCATCGTCCGATCTCTGGGAGGGTCCCCCCCGAGGCCGATCCTGCCCCCCAGACCCCCGACGCTGTGATGTCTTGTCGCAGCGTCGACCCCCAGAGGTCCCGACGCCTTCCCCGGGGACCTGCTTCTCCTCCTGCGCCCTTCTGCCGACGGCCCCGAGGCCCGGGAGAGGGCCCCCGGAGGCCGAACATGGCGAGAAGCCTCCCCTCGGGATTTCACCACAGCGCGAGGGGGTCTGTGAATACCTACCAAACCACCCCAACCCAACCCGAAGACCCGAATTTCGGGTTGGGGGGGGTACGGGCTTCATGTGTGTTTTCTCGACGTTCCCCGACCCCCCCCAACTGGAAATGGAGGGCAAATTCGGGCCTTCGGGTTGGGTTGGGGTGGTTTGGTGGGTGGTGAGTCTGGGCCCGACGTTGCCCCCGAGGCCACTCCGCCGACCTGGCGGCCGTGCCTCTCGCGGCTGCGGCCGTGGCCGGCCCCCCCCCCCGGGCTGGCGGCGCGCGCTTGCGCGCTTGGGCGCGGCGGCGGCTGCAGGGGCGTCGAGAGAGAGAGAGGGGGGCTCCGCCCGCTGCCGCGCGGGCTCCCCCCTCCTCCTCCCTCCTCCTCCCTCCTCCTCCCTCCTCCTCCCTCCTCCTCCCTCCTCCTCCTCCTCCTCCTCCGAGGGTGGATCGGTGCGGGCGAATAGAGAAGGGGGCATTCTCTTGTTCCACGAAGAACGGCTCTGCGTGGGCCGAAAAAAGGCCCGTGCGTGCACAAGAACTCTGGGGGCATTGGATACGGAAAACTTGGACAAGGAATCCAGGGTCTGGAAGCCACTGGAACTCGAGCTGTGGATCGGCATCGACCATGGAAATCACCGCCGCCCTCATCAGATAAGGAGCCCTTCAGGGTCTGAAGCCTCCTGGGCACTTTCCTTAACGAACGCCCCCACCGTGTCAGCAGAGTAGAGACATGCGAACAGAGATCTGACGATGAGGAACCCTGGTGCACATGATTCGTCGGTCTTTCGGGGCCACACGGTGCCCCAGAGCTTCTGCAGGTCCCTGGGGCCACCCGGGCATACAAAAAAGCGCGGGGCACCTTCTAGCAAGCCGAGTTCTTATCTCGTGCGCCCATCGTTAGGTCGGGGGTCTCCTACACGGGGGTTTTGGATGCGATATAAAAATGCCCCAAATATGGCCCCAAACTTGAACATTAGTCGCTGACGCGTCCCCGGACTAGTTTTGGACTTTTTGCACATTCCTCCTGTAGAGGGACAGGCCCGACTTCAAGCCTACCACAGGACAGGAACACAGACGGAGGGCCGGGGAGATGGAGAACCCCGCCGCCGCCGCCCCCGCCACCGCGCGCGCCGGCACCCACGCGGCGCCGCCACCGCCCGCGGGGGCCAAGGGGGTGACAGGAGCCGTGTTTCGGTCGGGCGTCTCCCCCTGGAGGCGGATTTCAGGAGGAAGATAAGACATCCCCGAGGCAGACCCAAACATGTCTTGATACGATAGCAAAACATCGTCCCCCGACTACCTCTCTACTACGTTTCGATACTCCTCCTGTGGAGGGACAGGCCCAACTTAAGGCCATGTCGACCACCCACCCACTGCCCGCGACAGCGGCGGGACGCAGGATGGACCCGATGGCGCTCTGCCTCGACGCACCGGCGCGGGGGGGCGGGGCAGGAGAGTTAGGTCGGGCATGTCCTCATACAGGCGGATTTTGGACGACAGAAAAAATAGTCAAAACAATGCTCAAACATAGCCAAACATAGTCCAACAATCGTCCCCAGACTATTTTAAAACTATTGTTGGATATTCCTTCTGTGGAGGGACACGCCCGACTTGATAGGAGAGCCCAGAATCGAATCGACAAGTCGGATCGGCGATCGAAAGGATCGGCGGACATCGGCAGCCACGTCGGGAAACGTCGCATCGGCAGACATCGGCAGGCCAGTTTGCCTCCAAGAAGGAAGCGGCACCCAAATCGGAATCCCAAGCCGGGTCGAATCGGAATCGGAATCCCTCGAACTCGAACTGAATTGAACCGAAATTGAATTGAATCGACATCGAAATCGAATCGAATCGAAACCGAGGAATCCCATCGACATCGGAACCGAAGTCCGAATCGGAATCCCTCGAACTCGAACTGATTGGAACCG